TGGATGCTGGGATAGGAAGGGCTTTCTAACAACAATGCAGAAACAGATGATAAGGGAAGAAGAGGTGATCTACCTAGGAAAAATATAATTTGTGTAAATGGAGGTACAAGGCCCTGCAGGCAGAAGGCTTCATTAATCGGAGTGCGCAGGGGGAATCCCCAAGCTCTTAGAAGAATCAAATGCTGCAGACGTGCAGTGTGGATATGAGATGCTGATAGGCCATGCCGGACCAACCTTCCCACCTGCTGCAGACATGCAGTGCCGATATGAGATGCTAATAGGCCATGCCGGACCAACCTTCCCTGGTGGGGAGACTGTTGTGCCCTAATCTAAGCACAGTGGCAGCTGTAACAACGCAACTACAAGTGACTTTGCACACACTGTGTGTTCCCTCCTCCACTAACTACAGATTCTAGAGTAGAGGGGTCATGAATAAGGCCATTATCCCTGGTGCAACGATGGAGAAACTGGTCCCCGCAAGTCAGGAACAACAGAGAGTCAGTGTTCTGATTCTAGTACACGATGCCCCCTCCCAGGTAAACTCCCATGGCATTTGACAGCTAGTCGTTTTCATATTCATAATGGAACCCATTAAGATACTCTGTAAGTGGAAGTCATTTTAAAAATACATGTGCTTAATTTCCCTTTGTAATTACAACAGATGGGCTAACGCCCCCTAACCTATTTAGTGATGATCCTTCAGGCTTGGTGTAGGCTGACCATTTTAGCAAAAGGCTCCAAAACACATTATTAGCAATAAGAAATTCCTGTACTCTTAAAGCCCTGGGGAGATATTATATAGAGTAATACAATGGATTCATGTATGCTTTACTCATTTTGAAAATAAAATATGTCCATTGTTTTTCTTATATTTATGCTTTTTTGTATGTAAGTTGAGTAAGCTTATGTCTAATATCACTTCCTCCACTAAACATTTATGGATAAAGCAAAGCTTACATGTAGAGAGAATAAATTTTAAAATGAGTGTGTTTATTTTCTCATACATGGAATTTTATCAATAAATTAAGACATTTAACAGAGAGAAATAAGTGCTGTCATCCTGTAAACCCTACAGCCAGCATATATCCTCCCAGATTACCCTGTTTAAATACTTTCACATGACTTTAATATTTTATTCTAGATGTAACTACTCATAGCAGAATTCTGAAATTCTATTAATACACATTTCAAAAGAACAGAAATGGAAGCACAAAAGGAAGATTTCATGGCAGCTAAAAATAAAACCAGCTCAGGTTTTTATAAAGGAAAAAAAAAAGATCTAAATTTATAGTAACAATACCTGTGTCTGTCACGGGACAAGAAAACGGTAGGGTTTCCCAGCTGTTAGTTTCCAGCAGAACTTAATTATAGGAACATTTACAAAGATGGGGGTCACAATGAGAAAAGTCAATAACAGAAAGGGAAAGTTTGAGTCCTAGTGGCAGGAGGGTGGCCTATATCACTCCTGGGGGGGGGAGCCTAGCAGATGGGGCCTCCCTAACAAAGAGAGATGGTTTAAATCAACACCAGCACTGTAAGAGCCAAAGTATGAGGCAGAAAGTGGGGAAAGAAACCCCCAGATGTCCGTCACCCAGACTCTGAATCCAGCTGGAACCCAGGGAGCACAATCCCTGGAGCAGGCAGAGCAGGGGAGGGTGGAGCAAGGCAGGGGAGAGTGGGGCAGGGAGGGAGGAAGGAGACCATGAGGGAGAAATAGAAAGCAGTATATCCTGTAGCCTGATTCTGCTCCCCCATCCCACATCCAGTCAATAATGTCTAAGCACCTAGATCCTAAACTGATTCAGAAGCTCATCTATACCATCTGGCACTTAGGTTTTTAAAGCGATTACCCTTAATCGTGCACTTCCTGGCACAGCAGTCGCAGAGGCTGCTCTTGTCCGTATGTTACCTTCTGCGTGCTGCCCTGCATGATGGGCTGGTTTGAGGAGCTATGCAGCTGATATAATTCTCTTGTCTTTGTGTCATTTGTCTTTGATGATCTTCTGTGTGTTCTTTAATTCCTAACTCTCTTCCTGCATGTGTGCAGGCATGGACAGCTGCAGCTGGTGGTGGTTCAACTTCAGATTCACTTTTTGCAGCCTAAAGTTTTCAACATTCCTTTGTCCACCTACTGTTCTTCAGGGTAAACTATCTCTATTCTGTTCCCGCTTTCTTTTCTAAATTCAGTTCCTTTCCCTCCAACACACATTTCTATTTCCTTTAGCCTTTTCTCTTTCCTCTGGGTCCTCAATGGACCCTTTGTTTCTTGAATAAGTCACTCTTGCTTTCTGTTGCACTCGAGTTCAATCAAGTATTAATACATTTCTCTCCAGGTCGGGTCAGTTTCTCGGCTCAAGTTTTACATTAATTCTGTGTTGCGATTTAGATTCTCAGACACATTGGAGGATATCTCTGCTTCATTTTCTGGGGGCTATTTTAACCAACTATGAGGCTTTTATTTCCATTTTAATGGAATATGCAACGTCTGCTATTTGTCGCTTCTATTGGGGTCATAGTTTGAGTTCAAGAGAGTCTACTCCTGTCTGCTCTGTTGTGTCTGTGCAGTTCATTTTTTTAAAACATTTTCGCTTATTCCTAACCAATGTCAAAACAAGGGCCAAACCATACACAGCACATACCTATCACAAGCTTTGAAATGCTTTCAGAGAAAAGGAGCAAGATGTCATGAGGCAGATTAGCAGAGGGAGGGAAGAAAAGTCTGGTATAGATCAAGAGGCTGTGAAGAAGGAGAAGGGAGGATTACACAGAATGAGTGGCTGAAAGGATTGATAAGAAAACTTGAGTATCTATAACACTTTAGGATAATTAAGAGCTAGACACATTCAGGAAGCTGACGTTTTAACAGGTAGCTAAAATACAATATTCTATGTCACACATGCGATGCTGGCCTCAATGTCACCATGCAGCTCCTTGAACGCCTGATCTGCGGCCTTTTTCTCCCAAGAGCTGGGACTGCAGGAGTCCGGTTTACGTGCTGCCTAAGATGGAAGTTGGGGCCTCAAGAATGATATACAAGTACTCTACCAACTGTACCAAATCCCCAGCCCATAATTTCAGAGTTTTCATTGTAAGATAAAGCCTCTGCTTATTGAGATGAAAAAAACTAAGAGAAGGCATGCCAAGCAGGGGAGAGGTGTTAAGTTTGCCTTGGCTTTGCATCTTGTAAGAAATGTAACAGAAGCATTGGCTTAAAAAGTATGTGATATATCATTTGTGTATAGGAGGGCTACTGATTTTTCTAAGTTTATCTTGTATCCTGCCACATCACTGAAGGTATTTATCAGCTGTAGGAGTTTTCTGGTAGAGCTTTTGGGGTCTTGCATATATTATCATATCATCTGCAAACAATGAAAGCTTGACCTCTTCCTTTCCAATCTGAATCCCCTTGATCATCTTATGTTGTCTTATTGCTATTGCTAAAACATCAAGAACTATGTTGAAGAGATATGGAGAGAGTGGACAGCCTTGTCTTGTTCCTGATTTTAGTGGAATCACTTTGAGTTTCTCTCCACTTAATGTTGACTGTTGGCTTGCTATACATTGCTATTATTGTATTTAGATATGTTTCTTGTATTCCTGATCTCTCCAAGACCTTTATTATGAAGGGGTGTTGGATTTTGTTAACTGCTTTTTCAGCATCTAATGAAATGATCATAGGATTTTTTTCTTTCAGTTTATCACCATAGAACCTTCATCCAGCAACTGATGGAAAGAGAGGCAGAGACCCACATCAGAGCACTGGACTGAGCTCCCAAAGCCCAGTTGAAGAGTGGGAGGAATGAAACTATGAGCAAAGAGGTCAAGACCATGATGGGTTCACCCACTAAAACAGTTTACCTGAGCTAATAGGAGCTCACCAACTCCAGCCGGACTGGGAAGGAGTAAGCATAGGACCAAACGAGTCCCTCTGAATGTGGTTAACAGCTGAATTGCTGGGGCAGACTGAGGGGTCACCAGCAGTGGCACCAGGATTTATCCCTACTTGATGTACTGGCTTTTTGGGATCCTATTCTCTTTGGATGCATAATTTGCTCAGCCTAGATATATTAGAGAGGGCCTTGGACCTTCCACAAAGCAATGTGCCTTATCCTCTCTGAGGATTGGATGAGGGTGGGATGGGAGGGTGTGTGGAGGGGATGGGAGGAGTGGGGGGGGGGAGTGGAAACTTGGATTGGTATTTTTAAAAAACCTAATAAATTTTAAAAAATAAGTTCATCTATTCTATATACTAAACATACAGGTAATGGGATTTGAAAGTATTATTTAAAGTAATAATAAAATAAAAATAAAGTATGGGATATACAGAGGTAAGAGTCAAGATTGAGATGAGTTTGGGTGCCTCTGGTGTGGGTGCTGTGGGCACTCAGATATGTTGCAACTTGAGTGTTGGTTGTGAACTGTAAGTTGTAAATTTTCAAGAGAGTCCTGGATATCTCTGAGCCTCACAAAGGCTGGGCACAAAGATATAACCAGGAGTTGCTCTACTCTTGAGACTGCTCCACACTTGTTGGCAGGTCCTCACATCCATGACAAAGGACCCTTTGCTCTGCACCAGCTGTACCCACACTTGATCCTCAATCCAGCAGCGTCACTTTTCGGTCAGTCTGCGTAATTATTCCAACAGGTCAGGCATCCCTCCTCAGAGCCAGGAGGCCCCTGTTCTCCTTACCATAGAGCCTGCTCCCCATAGCTTCCATAAGATAGCCCTCGTCCCGAGGGTGACAGTACAAGCCTGCATGGTGAACAGCTCCCGCTCTCCCAGCCAGGAATCTAAGTGACAAAGGAACTGCTGGGAGTCCCTTTAGTCAAGGTCAACCTTTACAAGTTTGGTCATCAGATGCTATTTAGAGCCACAGGTCCCGACGTCATCTCCCATCAGACGGAAAATAAAGGGTGAAGAAATCTACCCATAAACCATCGCAGAGCATAAGGCTGCAGTTCACTGTGGCGCCAGCCAGTACAAGTGAAGCCATAAATACCTGAGTGTCGGCTGAGGCTCCCGTTGCAGTTGCTTGTCACATGGGGACTTCTCCAAAGACAGGACAGGGCAGCAAAGATCTAAATGTGGAGGAACACAAACAAAACCAATCATAGAGGAGGCCCACCTGGAATAAGAAGCAATCACTGAAAAGCACCTGAAGCTATGAAATTATGACCAGGGCAGAGAGTAAGACCTTCTTCATAACTGACTAATGACAGAAACCATCCCTACAGAGCCATTCGAGAAAGTAGGATTCATAGCAGTTTAGCTACAACACAATATCCTAACCTAAAACAAAATGCTTAGATAAGAGTTTGAGGACATCCAAAGGGTTTTGATCAAATATTTAAATCTCAGAATATAAATAAACAGAAAGGAGAAACAGTGAAGTGAGCCGCTCAAGCTCAAAAGAAATTAAATAAAAACTAAAATCATCTCAGAAATGAAGGCCTAATTACAATGTATGCAAGAATGGGCACAACTTGGGCTATATGAAGAAATGAGAAAAAGAGCAAAAACCTCCAAGGAACTAATGTAACAGAAAGGAAGATTTAATTCTTTCCAAAGGAAAGTACGCAGGGAAAATTAAGTAGATAAAAACCTAATAAATTATTGGAGTCCCTCAAGAGAAAGAGAACAGGTCTGGAAAGATGGCCCAGTGATAAAGAGCACGGGCTGTTCTTGCAGAGCGCCTGGGTTTGATTCTCAGCACCCACACGGCAGCTCACAAACATCTGTAATTGCAATTCCAGGGGATCTGATGCCCACTCTAAGCTGGTCTCATATGGTGTACATACATACTTAAAGGCAAAAGAACCATACACATAAGATAATTTTAAGTGATAAAAAAGGAAAAACATAATATTTAATACAGTAGTTCTCAATCTTCCAAATGCTACAACACTTTAATAGAGTTCTTCATGTTGTGGTGACCCCCAACCATAAAACTATTATCGCTGCTACCTTATAATTGCAATTGTGCTACACTTATGAATCGTAATATAAATATATGATTGCCTGGTGGTCTTAAGTCACCCCTGTGAAAGAGTTGTTCAAGCCATAGAGGGGTTGTGACCCATAAGTTGAGAACCATTGATTTAAAACAATCTAAGAAGGCTGTGGAAAAATAACACAAAGTTCAAGAGTAGAAATGGAAAAGAACTTTCCAAGCTAAGAAAAATAATCCTTTGGCCTCCAGACCATAAGATTAGATGACTTTCTAAACAGGAAGAAAAAATGTGTCACTGAGCATGTCCATAGTTACAGAGAGGGGAACCATAAGGGGAAAACACATTGCAGAAACTATAAAAGGAATAGCATGGAGACTGTTCAGTCTAGACAAGCTGCCCATCAAGTATCAAGACAGTGGCATCTAAATATAAAAGGCACCACGGACTGAGAGGCAGGGGCAGAGACAGAAAAATCCCTGGGGATCACTAGCTGTCACCCTAGTAGAAAAGTGATAGTGAGCCCTGGGGTCACTGAGAAACCCTGTCTCAAAGGATTAAGGTGGACATCTTCCCCTAGCCTCCATACAGGTGTACACACATACACAAATCGCATATACACATAGGTAAACACAATACACATATACAAAAACATTAGAAATTTCAAAACGTTTAAAAGCATTTCCCCATTCCAGGGTCAAGACAATCTTGAAAAGCATATACTAACCTTGGCTTCCTGTTGCTCTTCGGTGCTTCAGTGGTTCCTGATTGTCTTGTGGGTAAACATAATCCTATCTACAGAAGACAAAAAAAAAAAAAAACACCAATGTAAAGATCAAAATCCAAACAGTTTTCTAATGAATAAGAAAAACCACAAGAAGCAGAGTCATTGGCCAGTGATGTCTTTATAAACGGCTACCTTCCTAATTCAATAGAACCAATTATTGCCCATGCCAGAGTCTATAAACAGGGTGAGGCAACAGGCAGGATTTATGTGCAATTACCCAGTGCAGCAAATTCTTCATACTCAGAATAACATCATGTCAAACATTAATAGGAGAAAATACAGAAGTATGCTTTTCATAATTTACAGGACAAGAAATCACATTATCCCCTTCTACTGCATGATTAAATATCTCGGGAAATATATGCTCAGGTTTAACACTCCAGTGTGCATGCATACACAATGTATGAGCAGTCTTGTAATTCGCTGTTACGATGACTGCAATAGGAAATAGAGCTTTAAGAAATGGTCTGTCCCTAAACAGAGACTCTCAACAGAGGAATCTAAAATGGATGAAAGACGCTTAAGGAAAAGCTCAACATCCTTAGTCATCAGAGAAATGCAAATCAAAACAACTCTGAGATTCCATCTTACACCTGTAAGAATGCCCAAGATCAAAAACACTGTTGACAACTTATAGGGTAAGGGAACACTTCTGCATTGCTGGTGGGGATGAAAACTGGTACAACCCCTTTGAATGTCAGTGTGGTGATTTCTTAGGAAATTAGGAAACAACCTTCCTCAAGACCCAGCAATACCACTTTTGGGTATATATCCAAAGGATGCTAAATCGTGCCACAAGAACATGTGCTTAACTACATTCACAGCAACATTGTTTGTCATAGCCAGAACCTGAAAACAACCTAAATGTTCCTCGACCGAAGAATGAGTAAAAAAAATGTGACACATTTACACAATGGAGTACTATACAGTAGAAAAAATAATGACATCTTGAAATTTGCGGACAAATGATTGAATCTAGAAAACATCATATTGAGTGAAGTAACCCAGGCCCAAAAAGATAAATATCATATGTACTTACTCGTAGTGGCTTCTAAACATAAAGCAAAGAAAAAGCAGCCTACAATTCACAATCCCAGAGAATCTAAACAATAATGAGGATCCTAAAAGAGACATACATGGATCTAATCTACGTGGGAAGTAGAAAAAGACAAGATCTCCTGAATAAATTGGGAGCATGGGGACCATGGAGATGGTAGAAAGTGGGGAGAGAGGAAGAAAGAGGATCAGAGAAAAATATATAGCTCAACTTAGAAGAAGAAGAAGAAGAAGAAGAAGAAGAAGAAGAAGAAGAAGAAGAAGAAGAAGAAGAAGAAGAAGAAGAAGAAGAAGAAGAGAAGAAGAAGAAGAAGACGAAGACAAAGAAATGGTTTGTCTTGCTATTAAACAACCTGACTCAAGTGTATCAGAAAAAAATTCTCAAAGCTTATTCTCCACAACTAAGATTAAAGGATGGAACACCCAATCTTTTCTATTAATTTTCTCAAATGTTTTCTCACTGTGAAAAGTAGTAGGAAATAAAAAAAAAAATGGTCTGCGTGGAAAAGGACTCTTATATGAGTATCAGAACTCCAGCATTATGGTTTTCTCCCTGTTCCTAAGCACACAATCGCCTATTAATGACATCCCTTTGGGAGTTTTAGTTCATCTACAAAGAGGAACAGCTGACATGGGTAGGATTATCATTATCAAACCTGTAGGATTGTGGGCTATTCATTCTTCAAAAATGATATCCAATTTGATATTAGATACCATTGGTTAGAAGAATGCCAAGCCAACTGGGAAGAGTAAAGATGGGAGGTTTGAGGGGGCCGCTCCCTGTAGACTAGGGGTCTGCTTATGAAAGGAGGACGACGCCTGACTAGAAGGCCAGTCTGTGGAAGCTTTGGAGGAGAGCGAGCCCTGAGAACAAGGATGGAGTTTAGATGAGACCAGCAAGACCTCCACCGCTTATGACCTGAGGGTCTTCATCCATAGGCATAGCTTCTTTTTCTCTGGTGCAATCCTATTATATTTTATTTGAGGTATCGGGGGGGGGGGGGGAGAGGTGAACGAATTTCTAAAAGGAGTAATATTTGACAACCAGGAAGTAACAGAGCCTAAATTACTGCTACAAATAAAAGGAAAGTAAACTCTGAGGGAATCGGTTGGGAAATGTCCCTAAGCCACTGTGAAATCGGAGATGTAAGAGAAATTTGTTCAACTTCTGAGGACGCAGAAGTCATGGTGTGAGAGTGGCTTCATTCAAAATACAGGAGTGGGCTGCTTTGGAAATGGGTTAGTCGATGGACTTCCTCCTCATGTGGAAAACCTGTCTCTTGCTTTTGACCATTCAAGTTAGTTTTTAACACAATAGTATGCTTTATCTTCTGAACAGGAAGAATAAGATTTAAAATGGCTAATTCTTTCCACTCCATGCAGTGTGGGGACTATAGGCATGGGGCTGAATCCACACAGAGACGCATATCTTTCTGGAAAAAAGGTTTGTGGAGGGAGATGGATTTTTTACATGGTCTTTCTTTAACTCTTCCTTCATTCCTGTGAAAGCAAACCAACAAAATCTGGGCATCTGTGATGCTTTCTGAGCCTATGTTCACAGATTCATTTAACCAAACATTTACTTCTATTTTTCTTCAAATCAAAATAAATTAACTGAGGTCCGCATTCCTTATCCCAGTCCTGTTTAGTTATTCCTCCCTCTTTCGACAGAGCCGATAGAGCACCATGTCTCTCCCCTGCCTGTGCAAGGAAATTTTTAAGCTTACAAATGGTCATTATTTTTTAAAGAATTTATAATCAGAAATTATACTGACTACTAAACTTTGCTCAATTGAGACACAGTTTTAGGTCCTAATTCTTCTGTAGAACAAGCCTAAACTAAACATCTTACAACACACAGTGTGTTTTGTTTGCACCTGGTACTGCCTAGTGCCCCAACATTTTACACTCAGTGATGCCTATTTCCCTGAGGCGCGTCTCCTAGCACCCTTCATCAGAGTGTGTATTTCCAGAGCAGTGCTCACAAACTCTGAATGACACCAACACCGATCTCCAACAACACACAAAGAAGAGCTCCATAGAAAGTATTGCCAGCCTTAGAATTCATTTGTTCTGAATAAAACTGGAATTTTATGGTTTTGATTGGGAGCCTTTAATGGCTGTGCCATCTCTTCGGCCCTAATATGAAATTTTGAACCTCTAAAATGCTTACACATTTGAATCTTTTGTTTAAACAAGAGGAGATGGCAGATGGTCTGACAACTAGTAAGATCAGTGTCATCTCAGGGTGGTTCACGGGAGGTGGGACGCGTCACGGGTGGGGATTTGAGACACAAGTGCTTTGAGCAGCGTCAGGTTTGGGGAGGCTCAATGATTTGTGGCCTTGCTGGAGGAAATACGTTACCAGGGCCGGGCTTGGAATATCTCATCCTGTGTTCAGTTCCCTCTGTCTTCTTCTGTTGCTTGTTCAGGTTGTGAGCTCTCAAGTTCCTGCTACTGCTACAATATCCACCACTATCTATCAGTTCTACACCATGATGAACTGCTAGTCCCTGGGAACCATGAATCCAAATAAACACTTCAGAACTTCTTTCTCTGAGTCACCTTGGTTTGGTGGGTTTTGTCCGAGCAACAGAAAAGAAACCAACACGATGTGCAAAAACTGAAGGAACACTTCCTTAGCAAGGCTCTGAGTCTGTAAACAGCACAAGGGACTGAAGAGTCACTGAGCCAAAGGCCATCCTTGTCACTCACAGAACCCATGGGTCAACTCACCTCCATGACTTAACTGATTATTCCCCCAACCTCTTTTTTCCCCTGCTGGTTCATTTGTATTGGTCACAACACATAATTTAATTCTTACCAGTTAAATACAGGCAGACAATTAGACTCGTTAGACATGGCAGAGATAAGGATAACCATGAGATCAATTAATCCCAATAGGTGTGAAAATACATGATCTTGATGAACCCCTGACCCTGAAGCCACTTAATGTGACTGTTTCAATTCTTCTACACATTTCCAATCACCTGCAAATCTCAGTACCCGTCTGGTGTCCAGCTTTGCTATCCTGTGTGGGCCCTGAGCCCCACAAAGAGCTTGCACTTTATTCATCTACTGCACTATAATATTGCAGAGAGAAACACACCTATTGCTAAAGTCATAGAAGTCTGTTAGTTTTGCACAGATCAAAGCAACCCAGGGAGTGAAATCTCACCATCCTCTTGGTTCACTGAAGTTATAAGAAAAATCTATCCCTATGGGCAAACTATCAACATAAGAGAAATTAACACAGCTGAACAAGTACAATCACCAAGTCAATAATTTATAACATGAAGAAATGTATTAGTAAGCCACATTTTAATTATACAGGTTCACCATAGCACATTAGCTATGTGACATTTTAAAATTCATCCCCTTAGTAATTAATCTGGGCAAAATGGCTTTAATAAATTATAAGCAGATACATTAGACTAGCATCATTTCCTTTCATTCTGTTGGATATTTGTGGAAATATCCCTGGGTCAGATGTATTCATGCCCTCAAATTTACCAAGCTGTGCAAATGCTTTTAAATATATTGGCTCCATATGTTACCATCTAGAGAGGAAACTATTCATAAGAAAATGGGAATAAAGTGTTACTGCATTTTCTTGAATGTCATTTTTGCCTCACGGATGAAGTAAATGGAGAGAAATAAAGGGTCTTACGAAATCTAAGCACGCTGGATGGTTTTATGAGTTATATACAGTTGTAAAGATTCAAAAACAGGTTCCCTTTGGGGAAAATTAAAAGCGCTCAGACTTCCTAATAACCTAGGCAGATGTATCTCTCTGTCATCCTGTTTTCTAGCAGGTCTACATTCAGCCATGGCCTTGTGCTTTCATTTCTAATGGTTCCAGTGAGAAACCTAGTTTTAGAAGATGGAAATACATCCAGCCTTCTCACCCTTTAGGTTTAGAACAAGCAGAGCAATGCTTGAGAAGGAATGC